ATAAAGAGAATAACTGTAAACATTTGCCAAAACAGAAAATACACCGCAAACTCACTCTACATAGAAAGTCTAAAAGTGTGGCTGTGATGGCCGGGTGTGACCTAATGGAGTGATACATAACAAGAATCGCGGGTTCAATGTTCATAATGTTGTCGCGTTCCGCGTCATAGAAGAGCCAATCGTAGAAAAGGGAGAGTTTGGCGTTAGAGGCGGCGACGTTTGAGGTACACGTGGTTAATAGCCATCCGATGACAGCCCAACGGGGGATAATGTCTGAGCACAACAACTCGTTTGACGGATGTATTACACCGCAGATGAAGCGAATCACATCACACCGTAGTGTCTGACTCTCGGGCGTCGCTAAGTATTGTCGTTGAAACCAATCCTGATATCGCTTTTGTTGACCGAACTTCACTTGAGATGTGAGAAACACTATCTTTCGCTCCATATCTGGCGTGAGTCGGGACTGAAAAAATCGTCGCGAAGTTCGTGTTCTCATTAATTGTTGTATTCCTCCGAAAGTGGGCGCAAAAACTGTCGGATTTGTGAACAAATCTCTCCATATTTTGTCAAACTCTGGAATTCGGGCGACATTTTGCAAAAGTCTCACTAAATCCCTTCCAATTGGTATGCAATCAACGAATCTCTCCCTTAAAAGCGAAGAACAAAATTCCACTTCTTTTTGTTTGAGTTTCACTAAGAGTGGGTTCGAGTGGTCGCCGATTAATCGCAGATAAGTGTACACAACAGAGGCCACTAATATCGGGAACTGTTCCAACCATTGCCTGTACTCCACCAGTATATCCAAACACTTCTCGATAAGCCATGTGTTCTTCGGCGATATATCGCCACCAATTATCTGTCGCAACAAATTCATGACCAAACCATCCGCTCCAGGGATTGACGTTTTGATCATTTCTTTGAGGATCCATATTAACTGCAAATCACAACACAATTAGTTACAAAACAATTAAATAATTACCACTCATTAGACACTGACCTGACTTCTGGACGAGTCGTGAAGTTTCAGATATTTATCCAAAACTATTTGATTTAAAACAGTGATCACAAAAGTCATACCATCTCTCGTGACATATGTTAGATCTCTGTAGTGCTAAAGACCAAAGACAAAAACACATCGATTGTTAATACATTTGCCGAAACATTAATTGAAAAACAATATGGTTTGCAGTCTTACTCTCTGAGCAGTGGATGGATCGGTAAGTATAGCGACCAATAGTCCAACGCTGACGTCCTCATGACTCGTAGCGCTTTTTATTGCCTTTAA